TTTCAGTTTTGCCTTTGGGGTAATGGGGTTAAAAGTATTAATAATATATGATTGGGAGTGGGGTATTAGCAGAATTGCTACAATTCCAACAGTTTTTCCCTCACTTTCTACTTTGCTGATTGATCACATTTTATCTGCTATTAAAGAATTGGTCATCATAAATAAATGTTTTAATTGATCAGTAAAAATAAATTACATTTTGGTTAAGTTCTGATTCTGTCCTATTCTCTGCATTCAGCAAACAGGTCTATGCAACAGGTTACATTCCATACAGCTAATATTGGTACCAAGATGTGTCAGTTATATTCCCCAAGGGAATGAATAGGATTTTTAAAAGAATCCATACCATTAGGAGAAAGCTGCAAATTACTGTATTCTATGATCTATCAAAATATGGAAATTGAGAAGTGAAGCCAATCAAGATTAGCGTCACTGATAAAAAGATACGCTGGACTATTGGTCTATTAAATTCTTACAGTCTAATAAACTATATATCTCCTTACGCTTTAGTAAGGATGATGATGGGAGTTATAGTGTGAAATGAAGCTAAGATTATTGCAATTCTAAAAATGAAAAAGGCCTGGCATAAGAAGTTCTATTATTCATGGCTCATTAAATGCAAAGCTGGTCTGAATATTTCAGTGCAGGGTTGAAAAACGCTAGACTACACTAATCTGTTTACACTGTGCAAACTGAGGCGGTGGGTCCCTGGGGGGCTTGCAGCCTGCACAGTGAAGATCCCAAACCTCCTACACAACGTCACGTGCATTGTGGGTAAATTAACTATTCAACAGCTGAACATCCATAGGGTTAAATGAATGTGAAACAGCTTGGAATACGCCAATAAGGTTTGCTACATAACGGGGTTTGTTCGCTAAACAGCAATTAGTAGTGAATTGAAAACCTAAATTAGCCAAGCTTTAACTATACATGAATTGGAGACTCCTCTAAAATAAGTCATTTTTTTCTAAAATTAGTAGTTTAGTTTAACACAATTTAGTGTTTAGTTAATAAACCCAGAGCAGCCCATGGCAGACCTTTTAATATTTCAAATGGTTAAAGAAGGACACTCTAATTTTAGGGGCATGGGTGGGGTGCGGCTGCTGTGCTCACTCTGGTCTTTAAATAAAGGGACATTGTTTGAAAAGATATCCTGGAATATTTTTTTCTTTATTTTGAACGTTTGTACTGGCTTTGAAAGTTTTTTATATAATTTTATTCTACGTGTATATTTATCTATTGTATTAACATAATTTGTGTGATTTTATTAATTGTACTTTGAGAGGCCTACCTGACAATACCAGCAGAAATGTACTTTGAAAAACCCTATATTTGACCCTGTAATGTTCCAAAACCTCAGTAGGGGTACTGGTGTACTCGTGAGACATCGCTGAACATAAATATGAGTGTTTTAGAACAGTAAAATGTATAATGATGATGATATAATCAGTAAAAGGGTAGTTTTTGTGTGAAAAATGCAAACCGCAAATATAAATGCTAACTTTGGCCAGGGTTTGTGACTAACTGGCTACTAAAACAAACTGCCCACAGGGCCGCCATCAGGGGGTGACAACCATGACGGTTGTCACGGGTCCAGCAGCCCTGGGGGGCCCGGCCGCCTGGGCCCCACATGGAGCGGCGAAACTGCAGCCGGAGTATCTGCACTGGGGCCGACACGCTGATGGGGCCCATCAGGTGGCCCAAGCATTTAGGGCCACCCGATGAGCCCTAAATCTTCAGCGGCCCGGTCAGCGTTGCGGCCGTGTAATAGCGCGACCGGACCCCATTTAAAAAAAAATGCTGCTGCACCGCAAGTTGTGCTAGGAGGAAGAGACGGCCAGTCACTTCCTCCCAGTTTACTCCTCGCGGGAAGGAGAGACATCCTGAAAGCCGTGAGGAGAGGAGAGGCAGCCGACTCCCATCATTCCCAGCCACCCTCCTGCAATGAAAAGGTAGGGATGAGGAGGGTGGCTGAAAAATGAGGTGTGTGTATATATATATACATATATATATATATATATATGTATGCCAGCATGCATGTATGCCAACATGTATGTATGTATGTATGTCTGTATGCCAGCATGTACGTATTTATGCCAGCATGTATGTATGTACGTATATATGTATGTCAGCATGTATGTATGTATGCCAGCATGTATGTATGTATGTGTATGTATGCATGTCTGTCTGTGTGTATGTGTCAGTATGTATGCCTGTATGTCAGTATGTGAGTATGTATGTATGTGTATCTGTATCTCCGTCTGTATATGTGTGTGTGTCTCAGTATGTGTATGTTTGTTTCAGTATTTGTATCTGTTAGTATGTGTGTGTTTCTGTGTCCTTTTGTTTCTGTGTGTGTATTGCCGTGGGCGGGATTTGGGAGCGGGCTTGGAGGCAGGCACCCGGGGGTCCAGACCTTGTGCTGTGTTAGGGGCCCCAAAACTTCTGATGGCGGCCCTGACTGCCCACATCCCATTTTGAATACCTTGGGTTGTCTGCTTTTGCCAGTGGTATGCCATAATGGGAGTAATTTTCATTTCTGAGCTGGTGGTATGCCATAATGGGAGTAATTTTCATTTCTGAGCCGGTGGTATGCCATAATGGGAGTAATTTTCATTTCTGAGCCGGTGGTATGCCATAATGGGAGTGCCATAATGGGAGTAATTTTCATTTCTGAGCCGGTGGTATGCCATAATGGGAGTAATTTTCATTTCTGAGCCGGTGGTATGCCATAATGGGAGTAATTTTCATTTCTGAGCCGGTGGTATGCCATAATGGGAGTAATTTTCATTTCTGAGCCGGTGGTATGCCATAATGGGAGTAATTTTCATTTCTGAGCCGGTGGTATGCCATAATGGGAGTAATTTTCATTTCTGAGCTGGTGGTATGCCATAATGGGAGTAATTTTCATTTCTGAGCTGGTGGTATGCCATAATGGGAGTAATTTTCATTTCTGAGCCGGTGGTATGCCATAATGGGAGTAATTTTCATTTCTGAGCTGGTGGTATGCCATAATGGGAGTAATTTTCATTTCTGAGCCGGTGGTATGCCATAATGGGAGTAATTTTCATTTCTGAGCTGCTATAGGGTTTCAAAGACAACCTAGGCCTAGCAAACTAATCTGCAGATTTTAATGTGTAAAACCGAAAATGGGAAAGCCCTATATTTGACCCTATAATTTTCCAAAACAACATGACAGGTGCATTGTCGCCATATGGGCTGGAGGAGCTGACCGTTACCTTTTTCCCAACCCACACCAATGAAACACTGACACTTTAGGGTATGGGTCAATATGTCCACAGCTTTTATTTATAATATATAATAATAATAATAACGATAATATATAAATAACACTAAAGTCATTGCTCACCCCCACATCCTTAGCCATCCATCATTATCATTTTCCACATTTCAATTCGCAAGGCAATGACCCATCATATATAACATAACATAACATTGTATAACAATCCATAAGTATAACAAAACAAGATCCAACATTCTCCACACGATCCTGGCAGGGGTATACCTTGATACCCCTACACCACCTGGGTTCTGAGCTACCACCGAGCTCAAAACCACCAACATCTTACCAACAGGTAACCAGTCCATATTGAAACAGCCAACTCACTACTCTTGCTCTACGCTTCCTTAAGCAGGCCCATTACCCCCTTAACTTTCCTTCCACTAGACCGCCACAAGCTCAGACCTTGACCCCTTAGAGCCTTGGCCACACCCTCCTGCAGCCCCAAATTAAATAAATCGATCCCCACCTCCGAGAAGTGCACCCCATCATCTCTGAAGTACCCTGGTAGCATGTCCTCTAGTTCCCTGTGCCGAACTACCACCCTGCCCAGCTTCCTCACAAAACTGGCCATCAACCCGTTAACCTTCCTTCGGCAGCGCCCTATAGCTCGTGAAACCCGTGCCGCCAACGGAGCCGGGGAAATATCTCGGACCATACTAACTGAACACCCGGGACCCAGGCCCTGATCCTGTTCACATCCTGCTTCATCCTTTTTACTAATAGCCATTGCGGGATAAGCCCAAGATCATTTCCACCTGCATGCAGCACGAGCACATCCGGCCGCCTACCCCTCGTAACCATACTAAGGACCTCGCTACACACTTCCTGCCAACCATAACCCCTATAACCAAACCATTGTAACTTAATCCGGTCCTCAGGGAAGCCCAGTTCCTGACCCCAAAAACGAACTGCAGCTCTCCTCCTAGAATATAAAAGAATGGCCCACAATCCACGCCACTCGACCTAGGGAAGAAAATAAATATGTCAGCCAGGGATCCCACAAGGCCAACCCCCACAGCAACTGTTCACACCATCTTATCCAACCGAACATAGGACTGGAACCTCACCGATTCCGACCGCCCAATTTTCTTGACCATTTCATCGCATAAGCCTAGCCGAGTTGCCTTGGTGGCTGCCCCTATGCGAAATGAGTGCGTTTCGAACTGATTCGGCCGCACCTCCAAATCCTGAAGTCCTCGTCTAAAGACCTTGAGAAACTGAAAACGGGAAAGCGAGGTACCGTCCTCGTGCATCAGAAAGGACCCCGGCCCCAGCGGGCGTCGTCCCAGGTATCGAGCCACACTAGACACCGGGCATAAGGGTGACCCGGGAAAGTTATGCAGTACCACATATGTCCCCCGACCTCTAGCATCCGTTTTTGACCGGCAGAGATGTACCACCACCTTGTCTGCTGCCCACCTAACCTCAGAGAGCTGGACGCCCCTGCCCCCGGCCCGATTTGGGCTTACTAGTTCCCCGATACGAAACGCCCCGAAGAAGGCCAAGAGGAATGCCACTTCAAACAAGCCCACCTCATACCCGTTGAAGCAAAGCCCCGGCAGGCTGCGCACCAGTCCCCCGAGTATGTTGAGTGAGTCAGGGACCTTGCGCCCCCTCCGAAAACCCTTCAGGGCTTAACGGATGACAAAGTGCTTTGTGTGGTCCTCCCAGCCCCGAAGCTTAAACCAGAACGCGATCGCTGACATCTGTTGATCCACCACCGCCGGGGACAGGCCTTTTGCCAATAGCCGGAAAACATACCATAGCAGCGCATCCAGCCCGGAACCTCGGACCATCGCCAGGTCCAATCCTCCCAGAGACTGCTCCCAGGCATCCTAGACCTTACTATAAGCTGTCCATGTACTGGGGGCCACTGACGACCTCACAAGTCTTCCAAGTATGCCGTTCCTAGCTGCCACATCTCCCCAGTAACACAG